GACAATGAATACGGGAAAAACTACAGAGCAGCAAAAAGTTGAAGGCCTTATCCAAATACCAAGTTCCACAAGGTGCTGAGATACTTCCAGCTATCTTTGCAGATGATTTTGAGTTTCATTCAAGACATACTCTAAATATAATCCTGTAATAATATTAACAGAAGACAAATATTTTGATTTGATATTGTATTGAAGAATGAAATTAATATAGTAAAACTTCAACATCAGGACTCGAGGGCTCATGGTAACTTTATAAAAAATTTGCTATTTAAGATTAAGGCAGTGAATTGCTTCATAATTTTTTTTAACTTAGTTTAATATTTTCATCTAGTAAGCCACCACTGTTTGGATTTATTATTAGCATTTAACGAGATTCTTTAAGTGGATACCTCATTTTACAGAATTAGAATTTTTTTTTCAGATGGAAGAAATAATTTGCTTGAAAGACAAGACAAATTTTAACTATGCCATCCATCTGATTGTTCAGGCTGCCTCCTTTAAAAACGCTAATTGGGATAACAGATCCATCAGAATAGAAGTCGCTGTCTGCCTAAGCAAACTCTCACTTTTAACTCCATGGCACGATTTTGATAAAAACCCTTCCACAGCTGGGAACAACTGGGTGTGTCACCTCTAAAGAGCTGGGTAAGGAAGTGCTTAACATTTTTAAATAGTAACTATGCTGACAACTGACAGTCACTAAGCTTGTATTACATTCTTACTTTGATAGAACTAAAAAATAATCAAATGAAGTACTAAGACAATCTTGCATTACTTAAAAAAAACTCAAACCAACCAAACAAAAAACAAATGACAACCAAATCCAAGCTACTGGGCTTTAAAATAACATCTCCTCCAATACAAAAATAATAAAATCCTAGGCTAATAAAATCAACTATACTGAAAGAACTGAAGAGGGACACATATGCGTTTACACAAATAACTAGCCACAAAACAAGAATATACGCACATGACTGCCAAACACGGTACGTGAAGAATAAATCCATCTGGATAATCTTTATTGGAACACATGACACATTACTGTACTATACCATTGAGCAACAACTTCTGCAGACTTATAGAAAGACTGAGCTATAAATCTCAGACATTAATCCATACTCCCATTTTCACTGGCAGAAAAGAAACCATCCATGCCAGTATATTTTTCCACATCACCCGACTACTAATCTCATCGCTGATCTGGCAAAGCATAAAGTCTGCAAGGCTTTGAACAGCAACCAGTAATTTTAACCAGCCCTCTTCACACAAACTTCTAAACAATAAAATTTTAAGGAGCTTTTTCCTTTACAAAAAGGATAATCACATAATCACTTGGAACTGTGACTCTGGATTTTTAAGAGGATTCTTGCCTCTCCCGTCCCAGATACTAGGAGTAATTACAGAGGAGGGTTTCACATTATGCCTATGCATCATCTCAGTTGCAGTAGAAAACAAAACACAAGTGAAAGTTACAACCTCCTTACCAGATAGGAAGATTATTTTCTTAGTATGGCTTCTGGTAAGCCACAAGGAACACAGGGTCTTTACCTTAACCCAGGTGACCACCAGAACATTACACCACATACAAATAAGAGTTTGGTATCTTGGAACAGCTTGGTGTTATTGTTGATGAGTCAAAGACAGAGCGCTACCAGCCAAGATACAGTGAAAGGCAGCAAGCACACTCAGAAATGAGTATGAAACCAGAAGAAAATAACTTTTCCTGTTGGGAAGGGAGCCTGCCCGGGTGGGACAGGATGGAGGTCTGAGATGCTAACAGCCTGAGGGTGTGTGATTTCTAGAATTGTAGAATGGTTAGGGTTGGAAAGGACCTCAAATATCATCTAGTTCCAACCCCTCTGCCATGGGCAGGGAAACCCTCCACTACACCAGGTTGCCCAAAGCCTCATCCAACCTGGCCTTGAACACTTCCAGGGATGGGGCATCCACAACTTCTCTGGGAAACCTGTTCCAGTGCCTCACCACCCTCAATGTAAAAAATTTCTTCCTTATATCTAATCTAAATCTACTGTCTTTCAGTTTAAAGCCATTTCCCACAAGACAAGAAGCACGCAACTGCCAGGCAGCAGAGACAGGAGAAACAGAGGGAACACCTCTTCAGCACCCTCAGAGGGAAGGTGTTCCTCCTGCAGGACATCCCCAGCACCAGAGCCATCAGAGCAATTGGACAAGCCTACAGAAGGCCAAGCGCGGCAGGGACAGAGATGCAACCTCCCAGCCAGTGGTTTGGCTCTGACATAAGACCACAACTCTCATGTCCTCCTTAGCAACAGAAGTGGACCCACCCTTTTAACGGTACCTTCCTCTTACCTATTTTCCACGTACGACGCGAACCAGGCGTTTTCTTACGCCCAGCAGTCCACACGTGTGTCCTACCAGCTCTCCCACTGCTCTCAGTCATCCCACCCTGAGAAGCTGACTGTTTAAGCGACCGTTTATTTAATCTCTTTCGGGTCGATAAAAAGCACGTGCTAACGGTGGTGCAGCAGCAGCACGCAGCACCGCTGCCGAGGTGTCGGAGTGCACACTGCTTCAGGCACACCATAACGTTACCCTGCACAGCCTGTCACAACTGGTGTAAGACGTGGGCAATTAGCCTCAGGTGTTAGCAGCAAAATGAATTTGCTTGGGAATGTTAGAAAGCCAAAATCAAAATGCAATTTTTTTTACAAAAATCAGCATATAAAAAAAAAGTTTTCCCTCTTTGTGACAAGAAATCGTTTACTTTTAAAGCTGAGACCGAGGTTAACAGAGAGTAACGCAAAAGCAAGACATGAAACAATATCCCTTTTCTGAGGCCTGGCATTCTAGAAGATTTGAAGAAATCTGTAGTTTAGCTTGAATGTATGAAATTACTTATTACTATTAAATAATAATTGTTAAAAATAGGTCAGATAAAGGTCCTGATCCAACAGCATTTCTCTCCTGACACATATGTGACTCTCTCTGGAAACCTTCTGAAGACGAGCTTGCCCTCTGGGTAATCAAGTGATGCGCAATCAACTTTTCAATGGAGAAAGTCATCTTCATGTAACTAACATCCTTCATTTCTTGGATTAAAACTTCCCTCCTGTCCCTCTCCAAACTCCTAAACATGTCAAAATGTGCTGGTGTGGTTAGGTAACTACTTTACAGCATGCTCAGATACAGGAGTTTTGAATTACTATGTAAGCATTTTACACACGCTGTGGGACTGTCATATGATATATAACGTGTGGAAAATCAAACTTATATTGAAACAAATTAAAAGAGCATGGCTATACAGCTGGCAGCTCTTTTGACTCTAACCCAGACCCCTTGCGTTGCTGTCCATAAGAAGTGCTCAGTGGTTAAATCTGTACTTTTGAAAAAAACCCTATTGCCTTATGACGACTTAAAAGTCCAGCCTTACTCTCTGCTCCTGGAGCCGGGAAGAGCACTGGCAGAGCTGAAAAGACCCAAAAAAAAACCCCGGTTACAGGTTCACTGGATGATTTTCATGGCTGACCTCACTTGGGCATCACAACTAACATAGGGATGAGCTGAACAACCTACCTGGCACAACAGTTTGCTAACTCGATCTCCCCAGGGATTCAGCTTGTCACTATAGACACTGCTGAAGACCAGCTCCTGATCGCCTCCAACCCTTCCCAGCTATACCCTTGGAGCAAACCTCCACCAAAACAACTTTAAGGAGGCTTTCGCACGTAATTAAAGCATGGCAGAGGTTACCAACCCTCCAGCTTTTGGCATGACATAGGAACCAGTGGGGAGAATACTGGTGCCCTGGAAAGGCACCAAATCCTTAAACAACACATGAGCAAGAAATTACGTTTCGGGTATGAGTCAAAGATTGGAAAATGCGTTGCCATCTCAAGTGTCAGACCTCAAAACAGTACGAACTTTCATTCTAAAACCAGGCAGAGGGTATGTCAACACACTACCACCTGATCCACCTACAAGAGATTTTTTTTTTTCTAATTAAAGCACTTATGTGCCATTTCACAATATTTATTTTTTTTTTCCTGGTATTTACAGAAGGATTACTGCCTATTCCTCTTTGATAAAATTGGCAATTAAAGACAGGAATCAATTCTTAACATTTAACCTGACAGGTTTCCAGGAAAACTCACTAAAGCTTTTTTTTTTTTTTTTTGAAGGTTTAACAATAAATTCAGTCTTTGTACCAACGCAACAAAAACAGCTAATAATGTAACAAAGCCAGAGGCCCCAAGATTATATTCTTCCATGACACGTTTGTCTTAAAACACCTGTTAAGTGTCTGCACAGTAAGGTTCTACCTCAATCTCTCAGAAACTAGTAATAAAACTCACAGTAGCAGACACAGCAGCCCTGAAATTTGAGAATCCACTAATTATATTTCGGAACCAAAGCACTGCTATTTCACAGGAAAAGTCTTTTCCCTGTAAACATGACAGTTACCCTTTGTGCAATTCAGTGCTTGGTTTCTACACGCATAACCCGCACACACACACACTCCTTGACAGGAGATGTGACATTCGGTGACAAACACCCAATTAAATTTCAGAGTCGCAAGACCAGGGGTCCTGTAGGAACACTGTACCTGAGCCTCAGCCATTCAGGTATGTATCAGAAGTACCACCTCAGCCTTTCAGATTCTACATTGGTAACGTCAAAGAAGAGAGGGAAGTGATGCTTTTGATAGCATTTAACAGTTAATTTTGCTCCAAGTTTAAAACAACCTGAACAGCTTCCATCTCACATAGTAAATGCTGTAAATATTCATTAACAGTTAGTTTGCTTAAGGCATAATGCTACTTCATTTTTTAAATTAAACTTGTGCAAATCTTATTTACCAGCCTTAACAATGCTTAAACCCTCAACATAGTACTCAGAACTGCTTGTACCAGATTAAAAAAAGGCTTTTCCATAGGCAAATATTTAAAAAAAAAAAGAAAAAGACTGTGAAAGAGCTTAGAGGGAGAAGGAGAGGGAAAAAATAAAATCACGGAACTTACTTGACTGTAACTCGATTGGACAAATCCTGAAGATCTCCTGGGTGAAAAAGCTGAGCTTCTTTCAGTCCAATATTTTCGCACGCTTTTAGAAAAACATTTATATTATCCTGCGAAGAGAAGCGGAAAAGGCAGGCGCTCAGTTAAAAGCACTAAGCAGGTTTTGCCGGACGATCAGTGCGAGCCTCTAAATGTCAAAGTCCAGCTCACAGAAACGATCCTGAAAAAGCAATCTTCTGGATCACAAGCACAGGTCGTTCGTCGTGCGCACAGGCAGGCTGGTTTGCGATCCCGGGGACTGAGGGCACGTTAAAGATTACCTGGCACACGGCAGTGGCGAGCCAGTAGGCAGCGATCTCCACTTTGATTGTCAGCTCTGCTCAGCAAACAAACGCCCTCTCTTCCCAGCTCTGCACGACAAGCCTCACCTCTTGCCTTTAAAAATAACTCTGGCTACTGACATTCACCACCCAGAAACTCTTGGCAGGGGAGGAAGAAGAGGAGGGACGCGCCGTTTCTATGCTCGCAGACCGAGGAGGGAATACTGCACCTGGAGCCTGGGTTTGGTTGCTGAGCAAAGCTCCAGAGAGACAGAAATCAAACCGTATTCAGCTTTGCTGCTTCCTTACTTTGAGGGGGGGGGGGGGGGGGGGGGG